TGTTGCCAAAAGGCAACATCCTGGTATCTGCTTATGTCTTATACATCTGCTCCCCGTATTGAAACCTAGTTATCTCCATAGCTCAATCATAAAAAATATGTGGCAAAAAATTTTTTTTCTTTACTGCTTCTAGGATCCGGCCGGAAAGGGTTAAGCACACTTTTCATCGTATGTCGATGTACGAGAAAAAGCCGCGCATTTATAAACATAATAAATGATGAGATATAATAATAGACTACGTAAACCCTTTAGACTTAATACATTTGTTTTCATATTATTTTCCTTTTTGTTTTTTTGTTAACATTGCATGTAATAAATATCAATTTTAACTGAATTATTTTTTTACTTTTTTTATCGAATAATATTAACGGATTAACTAGTAAAAATTTTTACATATATTTATTGATATTCATCTTAATCATATTAGCATCATTGATTTCAAAGTATTGTTTATGTGATCTCTTGAACTCGAAATCGAGCATACGAGATCAATTGACAAGAGAAGATGATTTTGCTGTACCTGGTCCAGATCGAGTAAGAAAATATTATCATTTTATTTCTATATATGAATATAATTCATTGTCTGTTGTATTCAGCCTAAACCAATTTATAATACTGATTGGCGTCAAATGCCGTCAATTCCGCCTCGTCGAGGAAAACATTATGACAATATAAAAGGTTAGATATAATCGAATAATCAAGAAAAATATCTAATTGAATTCTATCTAGTTGGACCTCCTATTGTAGAATGTGTTTATCCACCGACAATTTTTTTCGGTCGTTTATTTAGAATAATATGGGGTGAAAATCCTATTTTGGAAATTTCTCAATCATCTATTGATGTAAATGATTATTTACCTATTTGTTTACATCCTTCTCCACTTCCAACGTTAACTGATTATATAAAACATAAAACACTTTGTGCTAAACCAATTATTTGGATTATACGAAGATCTCAAGTACAACCTCATCCTAAATATCGATCAGCTAATGAAAAATCATTAATTGACGAACTTCCAATTGATCAAAAATATAATTTTACTTTACTTGGAGATGGTCGTCTTGTATTTACTCGAATTCCACATTCAAAATTCAAATATCCATATCGATTATTATCTAAACATGTTGCTCTTGCTAAACGTTCTTCTAATGTACGATTTGCTGGTGAATTAAGAAAAACAGATAATGGTGAAACATTACTTATTAAGAATAATTCGGGTACTTATAAACCAGATGATAAAATGACTCCATCAGCAGTAGCTTATTTTCAACAACTCTTTCCTCATTTATATGTACGTGGAATACCAAGAGATTAATATATCACATCTACTGTATATCTTCTTGTTTTTTTTGTATTGAAATGCAACTTCATTTGAATTGATTTAATGTACAGTTTTCTAATCAAGTAACCTATATTTTCTGATGAAATTCTAGTTTTACTCTTCAAATAAACTTACATAATAAAATTTTGATGATTTTATATATACATTGTTCATCATGAACAAGTATTCTACTTTACTAATTATTTTATTTTTGAAGAAAACAAAAATCAAAGATGAAACTGTCTTTTTCATAACATTTTCCATTCATTAACTGTTAAAATAGCAGCATTATCAAGCTTGAACCTTTTAAGATGACAAAAAAAAAAAGAAATTGTTAAAATTCTCTTGTAATAAATCATCAGATAGAATATTGAAAAAAATGAAAAACACTAACCATTTACATATTATATTTCAATAGATTGATTAAAAGTTATTTATCAAATACGATCTATGTATAATTATTTTTCTAACCTTGATTTTGACATATATTGTATAACTTTCTCTCGTCTACAAAATAACAAAACAATAGAAAAAAATTACTAAGAATGTTTTCTTTTTTCCAGAGAAAAATAAAAGTTTCAATAAGTGATGAATTATTTCTAATACTTTGCACATAGGTATGAGACTGTTATATAAACATATGCTCTCTATAAATTAAACTATCAACACTAGTATGATATCATATGAAGGACAGTATAGATTTGCTGGCCTTTGTCAATCATAAATTAATGTGATGATGTACACAAACAACTCAAAAGATCACACATCTAGGTTCATTGTTTTTCTTGTTCTCAATTCAACTAAATATTTGATTACATGCAGAGTTACAGACATGTGAAAAGAATTTTCTATCTAGAATATATACATTGATTGGAATAGTCTATAACAGTCTCTATCGATTCGTTAATCATACTTATATTATACAGCTTTACTTTATAAAAAAAAGAGAAACGTTAAAAATAGCTATTTGTATTTATTAGTTACCTATCAAAATAGATTTGCTAGAAATAGATAATGATTAATGTTTTTCTACTATGTAATAAGAAAAATTGCATTTGTTTTGACATTTTTTACAAAATCAATGTATTTTCGTATATCGACAAATATCTGAATGTCATTTACTATTCCACATAGTATTTTTAACATGTTAGATACAATACTAGTGTTATTTTTCTCCATGCAATGTAGTATCAATAAGCAAGATAAAAATAAAATTTTCAAGGTTGTATCATTGATTTGATGTTAATTTTGTTTGTTAAATAAAGAATCATTTAAATAAAATATTGTATATGTTTATACGTTTTTGTATCTCAAAATAGATAAAGAATTTAATTATCAAATTAAAAAAATAACATCCAAAGCTTAGATTTGACATTATGTCAGAAAAAAAATACTATCTATAACTTTGAAAAATGTATTGACCATTTAACAAATACTAATTTTTATTCTGATACCAAAATTTTAGTCAAATTCTGATTAAATTTGAAATTTTTATAGAATTTTTCATGTTATAATTTTCTTTTTACATAATCAGTTAATATGAATGGAATCAATCTATCAATGATTTTATCATCATAAATAATAATTGACATCGTTAATTATTTATTTTACATGACAAGAAAAAAGACGAAATCAATTAACTTCAATTTATATCATTTCAAGAGAATTTTAGAATTATATTACATACATGAAAGATTGAAGAAAAAGTCTCAGATAATAACTAACGATCATATGTCTATAAACATTTCGTAATTGAAAACATATGAAAAAATCACTTGTAAGTAAAGTTAAATTCATAAGAACTATGTAAGATGTATATATATATATTATTATGTATAGCTGTATTCTTTTGAAGATTTTCTTCGTTTTGTTTTTTTTTGCAATTTGTTTTTCTAATTGTACTCAGAACAAGAAATGCGGATCGTTTGCACTCGGAAAATGGTAGGAACTTGGAAGCAAGAATTCAATGAGAATGCTACAACTTTAGAAAATTAAAGATCTTAGTTCAATACGTATATATATATATATATAATAAAAATTTTAAATCTTCTATATGAAGAAAAAAATGTCAGTGACAATTTATTATCAATTATGATGGGATATCCTTTGTATAAAAGTATTTCAGTCAATTAAATACACATTAACATCTGTTTGATTATATTTTCTTATATTGACATATTTTCGAATTCAAGTATAGTTCTTGTAGAATTTTAAATTGCCTATTTCATCTATTACAATTTTAATTTTGTCAAAAAAAGAAAAGAGTAATATGAACTGTTTCGAAATAAGTTTGAATCAATATAATTCAGATATTTTATACTTTGACTTAAAGATGGTCTCTCGATTATATGAAGATTATATACACTAATGTCCATTTCAGAGTTAAATGGACGTGGGCATTTTTCGAATAGCTTTAAAACAAAAAGAGAGAAATGACTCGGGCTTTCAGCACTGTCTAGAGTCGACATTACTATACCTTTTTATAAAGTCCACGAAAAAAGCCAGTTGCTTTTCTTATGGGATGCAGCATTGGTTTTAAAGATGAACTTAATCCCCTTTGAGAACAATATGCTTTCTAAACTATAATATAATGAGTAGATAGTCTAGCTTCGCCTCTATCAATCAGCAGAAGCCCGATGTCGATAGCTATTTTTCTTCAAAAGATATAAAGATTTTACTGAATGCTACTCATCAAAATTTTTCAAAATCTAACAATGGAACTGTTTGTATTGTCAGTTGATTTGCTTAACTATATTCGGACCAAATTAAAGGCCTCACTGCCAAATTAACAAATTTTAGATATGACGTACTGGCGGCGTGCCTGGACAGAGATTCTTGAATTTCAAGGTATTTGAAATTTAGGTGTAAAAATGAAACAGTAAAATTTTACTCCACTATTGCAAGGGCAAAACATGATGTTGCTCGGGTCATATGAAAGAGGCCCCCTCTAAACTCTTTAATCCTTTGGAGACGGTCGTGGTATATATACCACTTCGAGTATATCTCAAACTTTTGGTATGGTATATATACCAAATCAATCAGAACTGAGTAAAAGTAGTCTATAGAATCATTTTCCTTTGTTGAGTTAGGAACAATTGATTGCTTCAACGCTTATCGTACCCTAAAACACTTTTGATAATGATTTTTGATTGAATAAACATCCATTTTCTTTCTTATAAGAAAACTATCTTTTCAAAAATACCCCATCCCCAAAAGGTTAATCGGCCCGAACAACACTATGTTTTGTCCTTACAATAATGAAGTAAACCTTTCCCGTTTCATTTTTATACTTAAATTTCATATACCTTGAAATTCAAGAATCTCTGTCCAGGCACACCGCCAGTACGTCATATCTAAAATTTGTTAATTTGGCAGTGAGGCCTTTAATTTGGTCCGAATATAGTTAAGCAAATCAACTGACAATACAAACAGTTCCATTGTTAGATTTTGAAAAATTTTGATGAGTAGCATTCAGTAAAATCTTTATATCTTTTGAAGAGAAATAGCTACCGACCTCGGGCTTTTGCTGATTGATAGAGGCGAAGTTAGGCTATCTACTCATTATATTATAGTTTAGAAAGCATATTGTTCTCAAAGGGGATTAAGTTCATCTTTAAAACCAATGCTGTACCCCATAAGAAAAGCAACTGGATTTTTTCGTGGACTTTATAAAAAGATATAGTAATGTCGGCTCTAGATAGTGCTGAAAGCCCGAGTCATTTCTCTCTTTTTGTTTTAAAGTTATTCAAAAAATGCCCACGTCCATTTAACTCTGAAATGGACATTAGTTACATCAAAATAAGTTACAGAGCCTTATACTCAATGCCTTATTTCTATAAGCATCGAAATCGTTTTCGTTAGCATTAAGTTTTTCTGTATAAGTGATGACATATACAGGGAAGATTTGTTGATTCGAATATACAACATATATATTTGATGCGTTTGTTGTTGAATCATATCCAGTTGGACATATTCTCATGGTTGAATTACCTAGACACGTTCGACCAATAAGTACCCGACATAGAAGCATAGTTCTTTCGTTATGATTTAACCGATCTTGAGTTGCATACATATGACTAATACGATGATCGGAAGAAAAATAGAATCCATAGCCGTATGATGCGCCTAAAATAATTCAATTAAATGTAATTGCTATCCAACTCAAATATATTACCGTGCATGCCAATAAGTTTATGATCAAAACCGTGTTGAATAATATTTTCAGCAGCTGAACGTGAACATCCATGAAAAAGATACTGTTCACTGTTATCATGACCAAGTCGAACATCGATAAGTTTCTTCTGTTCAAGATATTCTTTCAACCATTTTTCGTTTTCAACTTGGTCAATACGAATAATCTGCATAAATGAATTCTTAAAATCTCTAGCTATTCTTTCTGTAATAGGTGAATATTTAGTGTGTGATTTCAAGACATTTGTTGGCATCGACTGATTTTTATTTGAAATAATATTGGTACGACAAATATTCGAATGTGGAAGTTCAGCTCGACGATCGAATTTTTTACGTGTTTCTACAAGATTAACAAATGTTTCTTCACTCGACATCGTACCTTTGATAGTAGACACTATATCAATTTGATTTTGATGAATAGAAAGACAGACGAGTAATGGATATGCATCAATTGGATATGAAGCTATTGTTGTTGTCACTTCTTTAGTTGTATATTTGAATAGCATTGACAATAGCCTAAAAATTAAAATTTCATGATCTTTGTTTTCATGAAATAATTTTGTGTGTTCAAAACAACTTGGTAGATCGACATGTAAAAATCATATTGCTGTTTGTAATTAAAACAATAATACTCACATAGAATAATCGATATCTCGTGTTCGATCCCATATCCAAACTAGAAATTGTTCAGCCAAGTAATCAGTGATCATGTCTACACATAAGACATGTCGACAGAAAATATTCACAGCTATACTTTGATCATGATGTATGTAGAGAATAAGTGGACAAGGCGGCTATGAGCAAATGAACATAGTTCACTTTTTTTTTTCGTATATATAAAAAGAAAAAATAATTTACAGATGTGAATTCAAATAAAGAATGTTTCAAAGCTTCGTCGAGTGGACCAATGAATGATACTGGTCCTGGTCCTGGATATCGTTCGGCAAAGGTGCATGAGAAGCGTTCTATCATTTTTCGCACTTTATCAGCCGATGGAATTTCATTTGCATCTAATTTATGGATTAAATTCGTTTATTCGTATGAAAATATTTCTGTATATTTGATGAAAAATAAATATTGAGCAATAATTGAAAGATAAGTTTAGAAAAGATACATCAATAGAAATTTAAAGGAGTCCTATTAAATTTAAATTCTTTATCTGATAAGAACAAAATAGAAGTCTTCTTATTCTTTTTTTGTTTTCGAATTATTTATAAAAGTTGTCTTTTTCTATAATGATATGTAAAGTTTTTTATTTGTCAACATTTCCATGCTGTTTAGCACAAAAAACTTCTTGAGAATCAATTGAAAACAATCTTTCACAACAATTTCTACATGATTCAATACATAAAACAGAATGAAATTATTTGATAGGCATAAAAAAAAAATTCTCCGTTTTTCATATTATCTCAAGAACAAAGAAAGTATGATTCATAACTTACCCAGACTTTCAACATCTATGAGGGACTTCGTAGCAATCGTTTGGAACTATGTAAATTTTCATCATTCGAAATTATGTATATCTAACATTGACTTACTTTTGTATTATTGGAATTCATTGATTCACTTCCTTCCATAAGATCAAATTTTTATGTAGTATTTCAATTTTTTTTCCTGTCCTGTTTAAAGGTATTTGAAAGCGATAATGTTTTGTCATCGTTTTTAACTTACGTAATAACATTGTTGGAAAATATCAACTTGTCTTTTTTCTTTCCAATGTATGGCTCACTCACTACCAATTGACATGTTATGATCTATAAACTGATGCGAATGACTCATTTCACCATTTCTAACACGAATTCATTCATGCACTTGTTTCAGGTCAATTAAAAAGATAATTTCATCAAAAAACTAAGCATAGATTATAACGTCCTTATACCATATTTTCATCGTGGTCATTTTTATTTGCTCTATTTTGTTGGTATCATAAATAAGCAAACTTGAAAACTAAAGCAAAACAGTTGATGTGACTAATACAGATGGCTTAGGCGCATTCACATTGAGGCAGGAACGTGACCTCGATTGAAATCCATGAGTTCTAAAAGGTGAAAAATTTTCATGTCCTTTAATTATATAATATTCCCTTTGCCAAAGATAATTAGGACAGAGCGTCATCTATCAAGTTTTTTAAAAATGGTCAGCATAATATTTAGCAGAAATACTATTCAAGTTACGCTGATTCTGAACATATATAAATCTTAATAGACGATCCAGTTGTGACAAACTCATCACATAGGGCATTTAGGAATAAACACTAAAAAAAACCAAAGACATTCGAAGCATCAATCAGCAGATCACTATGGTCTTGTCCACACTACAGAATTAATACAGTATTAAAGTCCAATTAAATGTGCATGAGTTTTCACTTGTAGTCTTAATGCATCAATCAAAATTGAGACCGAGCCATCATAATGTAATCGTAGTGCATAATTCTTACACGTTTTGACATGATGGAACGTCGCTTCTCTCTTTTCTTCTTCACATATACGTGACTAATGTGAATTTAGTTACATAATTTCCACTATAAATCTTTTAATTCTTTTAATCTTTCTGATTGTGTTCTTACAGTTCCTATTTATATATACTTTGTATTGCATTATACTGAGAAACTCTGTATGTCGATGTGTATGGAACGAATTTAATGAGGCGCAGCCTTCATTTTCATTAGTTTATCGAATGTCGTATTGATTGTTCTCAAGCAGTTTATGATAATTATTCTTTGTTAAACTCACACAAGAGGACATTTTCAACTGACCAATCGCTTTTGAATTTCAACTCTATGCATAAGGTAGACTCTGATGGAATATGAAAAACTCCAAAAGGTAAATCTTCTTAGGCCTTCTATCCAGAGTTATAATCATTGTACTAGAATTTTAGCCTCTAGCATGATATATGTCAATGAATCGAGTGACGATATTTCGACCTGAGCTTCTTTCCCGAGGTATGAAAATCTTAAGAATCACTCATATTCCACGTAAAATGCTAGAATTCTGTTGTTTGAGACTTTTATATCTCGGAAGAGAATCTCAAGTCGAAATATTGTCATTCGATTAGTTGATATATACCATACCAGAGGCTAAAATTCTAGTAAAATGCTTATAACTCTGAACAGAAGACCTAAGACGATTTATTCTTTTGAAATTTTTTCATATCTCATTGAAGTCTATCTTATGTACAGAACTCGAATTCAAAAGCAATTGGTCAGTTGAAAACATTTCCTCGTCAGTATATGATAGTATATGTATATATATATATTCGAGTATTTGAGCAAAAGAAAGTCTGTTTGGGTTTATTTCATATGACGAGTTTATATTTGATGGATGATCATATACATTTCTGATAATTAAATAGTGATGCCTGTTGATCTACGTGCTTTTTTTGTTATCATTCAGAAGGACACGATCTTATATTTACCGATTACGGTTTTTTTTAAAATGATTCTTGTAATAATTACATCAAAGAATATTGGAAAAAGAAATAGATCAAACTAATATTTACTATGCCTGACGATGTCTCATTTCTTTTCTATTGAAAAGAATTCTGACTGATCTCATTACTTTTACTCCATGTTCTTTTTCTCTTGTCAATCTTCAATAGTATCTTTTATCTCTCTGTTTACTTTATATACACATGCCTTAGGTTGTATTATTATACCGATTGCAGTTATACTTGTTCTCTTTTCATTTACTGTATATTATCCTACAATCGACATATTTGGCAAGTCAAATAATATTATATCGATTAGAATTTTATTACAAAAACAATGTTCAATAAATTTGTATTTAGTCTATTTTCTTATAGCATCTGTTTTGGATTTGATTATCACTAACTGACCTATAATCTCTTTCGTTAATACACTCGATCATATCAATTCTGTCAGTACATCCTTGATCATATGCATAATCCGTTGTTATATCATCCATATTTCTTTTGATGTGTTTCTCATATATAATTATTTTAGTATGTGCCAATCGTTGTAATATGTGTAGTTCGCAAATTTCCATTAGAAGTTTTTTATCGATCATGAATCAATTGTTATTTAATTGTAGTTATTACAATCGTTTTTGTTTATAGTTTATCTTTTTTGAGAGAGTATTGAAAAATGATTGATATTGTGTCGATAGATTACATGAACATGTATATAAGTAATTATCTATAATTTTGTTTTGATTTTGAATAATTTCTACTTGTTTAATGATTATGTTTGGTATGATTCTTATAATTAAACTATGTTCAATTATTTCAGAACTATTTACAACACATCAAAAGATTAGATTTGAAATTAAAGAAGAATCACATTAAGTGAATCAATCATGAGTATCTTAATTCATAGATAGCATTCTATTTGATCATAAAAGAAAAAAAACGATATCGTATCAAACAAGAGTTCTCAACAATTATAACATTCAATTGCTTGTAAATTTTATAAGAATATCTATTATCATATATCGAAAATTAGAGATACAAGATTATTGATCAAAACTAAAAGAAATTAAAATGATTTCAAAAAACAAAAATATCATATTATACGATATTCAACTCATTTTTAACATTTAGTTAAATAACGAACAATGATGTAGTAAAATTATTTTAAAAGAAAAATTAATTTTATATTTATTATCTTTATTTTGTTTGAATTAAACTCATTTAATTGTTAATAAGTTTGTTAGCAAAATACACAATCGAAAAGAATGAAATGAAATATATAGAAAATCATAATTTGTCTAATATATATATATATTAAATCTTTTCTAAGCAAGCAATGAGATCAACATCGTTGACGTATAATTATATATGACAAACACTAGAAAAGCGAATGATAGTTTCCATTTTTAGAAAATATTATTATTCTTAACAGATCGTGACATGTTCAAATTTTGTAATTTGATTATAAAAGCAGTCATATAATGAAATTTTCTCTGTATTTATTTACTTTCTTCGAAATTATTTTTTTCCATTAATAAAATAAATTATTATAATTAACAATTATGATACGTGTTATCATCATATTATCGATACAAAAGCAAAAAAAAAAAAAAGTATGATTGATTGACTTTTCTCATTAGATATAAGTCATATGATGAACTTTGATCAAAATAAAAACAAAAAAAAAATTTTTAATTAAATTCTCATTATTGTTTCGACATCATCAATCTAAATGATATTTAATGTGTTTACTAAACAAAAATATATTCTTTTTTTTTTTTTTTGTAGTCGAATATATATATCTTAAATCTAAATAAGAGGATTTAATAAAACATTTGATATTTTGACATAGATTATACTAGATAATGATAAAACTATCACATGATAATTAAGTTCAATATAGAATAAGATATATAAAATATCTCAAAAAAAAAAAGAATATGAAATTTGCTATCCGTTATTTAGTCATCATAATCTTATACGAAGTATTTTTCGTAGTATATAAATAAAATAAATATTCTTCGTATGAAATAGTACTTTTAACATCTTATTTTTTTTTCTTTCCATCTCATTTCAATGAGTGAGAGAAAAAAAATAAGGCTAAAAAAAGAAACTTTTAAAAATCTATTACATACTTTAACACGCCAATGACATTTAATAAGCATCAAAAAGCAAGGAAAATAATATATAATGAAAAAGCGAAGGACATAGTTCTATGCTATATGAGCAAAAACTAAATCGAAAAAGAAGAATAGACGACAAAGACAAAAGCAGTGTAAAATGATTGTTAGCATCCTTCAATATGAAGACATGACATTTGACTATATAATTTCAAATTTAAATATCTTCTGATCTTGATGCTATCATAAGTAAAAATGACAATGCAGTAACAATAAACATCAATGTGGCTGCAATTATTTCATAGCCAGTTGCCCATCCAATTGTTGTATGAAAATGTGAATTTGCATCTTTAATTAATTCATCTTCAGCTGCAACATAACGTTCATGAGAAAATGTTGCTTCTAAGAAAAACAAACAGAAAATATGAAATATTAAAGAATTTCTTGTTTCTTTTTTTATATTACCATGATATTTAGCATAATTACGAAGACTATGTAAATCATAAGATTGTCTGTCTTGAGTATTATTTGATATACTGTCTAATGGAAATGAATAATCTTCATATGTATCTCGTCGAAGATCTTTATTTTATTATAAAAAAAAAAAAAAAAAAACAAACCTAAATCAACAAAATTTTGTTTATTCTTAATAACTTACATGCACCAATAAGAATTAATCCTGTTATCATTAAAAGTAATGTTAATAGAAAACATATATATGGTCCATAAGTAAGTACAAAAAGTGCACTATCTAGAAAATCAAAAAAAAAAATTATATTTTATATAAAATTCAAAATATACGAACCATTTTGTGGTGATGCTATTGTTTTTAAATAAAGTAAAAGTAAACCGAGAATAAGAAAAACAGCTGCTAAAATTGTTAACCATTGTGAACCTTTAGCTGATGGTAAATAACGACATGAACATCCTTCAGGTAAATCACTTGGGTCAAATACTGAACATTTTCGACGAATACTAGAACATGTACTATATTTATCTGGAGAATATCTCATATAACGATTTGGCCAACATATTCGAACATTTGGACGAGTACCAAGTGCAAGACCTTGTTTTATTATTGTAATATTTGTATATTCACATCGTTCCCATAGACCATAACTAACAGGTCCCATTATGGGTTGAGCATCTCGTTTTGTTATTTTCCAATGAGGTGAACACCTATAGATTTTTTGTTTTTTTTGTGTTTAATATTATTTTAAATAAATAAATTTGAATATTATAATTAAACTTACATAGCTAATAAATGAAGAACTAAAGCAGCAATGCCCAAAAATAGAGCTATTGTAACAATTGTAACAGTTTGAATTCGCATTATCTATTTATTAAAAGAACAAAAAAAAACAAAGTTACAAATAATTCAATATTTTGAAATTTTTTATTTTCTTTCTGTATTTTGTTTAGAATAGAATCTATATGCCATTCTAACTGATTTGATGTTTAAGGATTGAATTACGTATTTGATCTATTAGATAACTAACAAAATACGACATACTAGAAGATGCCAATTTTATATAACAAGTAATACAAATTGTTTATATTTTAATTAAATAAAAATTCATATAAATATAAAATTTATTATTTTAAAAGTCAAATGATCTTTTCTTTTTTCTTACATCAATCATTAAATCTAAACTTATAAACCATTGATATTCACATCCGTACAAGCGAACAAAAATAACTAATTATTGACATTTTTTTTTTTTTTTCGTACATAAATAAATCAGATCTGTAATATGATTATACGACAAAACTTATCTTATTTACTTACTTAATCAATCGTAATAATCAAAAGAATGGAAAATTTCAAATGCAAACAAAGAACAAAGAATCAATAAATCGATCTAAAAGAAAAGAAATAAACGAAAAGAAATGTTTACTTATAATATTAAATGATGCTCTCGTACTGTTCATAACATGCACATACATATGTATTTATCGGTCAAGTTGTTGGTAAAAAAAAAAAAAAAACGGTACCTCTTATTTATTGATGGTGTAAAATAAATCAAATCTCGTTGCACTATTCTCATATTTCTCTCTTCAACCTGTTCGTGCAAATATATATATATATACATTCACACACGTCGTTGTCGTCTCAAAAATGATACCAACTATACCAATGAAACTAACGGATCAGAATGGCTTATCATTGTCTCCCATAACATCCATTGTTCCATTACTGTTTTTATCTCTCTCTCTCTCTCTCTCTGTCATCTATTCTCTCTTTTATTATTGAATCTGTGCACAATCCCTCAACACCATCATGCCTACAAATAAAACATTGATATGAAGAAAAAAAAAAAACACTTATTTTTTCACATTTGTCATTATTTTTCCCTCATCTACTTATTCCTTTCATGAAAATCAAGTGTAAAAGAAGAAGAAGAAGTAAAAAAAAATGTCCAACACATGAACTATTAATTCATCTCTTATTTTCTTTGTTGAAGTTCATGGAAAAAGAGAAATATTATAGATACAGAGAAATAATATACAAAAGGAAATACAAACGAGCAAACAAAGTATAATACATAGGGAGAGTCAATAGGTTGTTGTACATGCCTACATGCACGAATATACAAAGTCCAATTAATAATGTGAGAAAAAAAGAAAAATAGAAGTAAACGGAAAATGCGATGGTGGATTGATGCCAAAAAAAAAAATTGAATCAATGAAAAATAACGAGAGAAGAAAAGGAAAAAAGAAGAAGAGAAAGGGAGAGTTCTCGCCGTCTAGCATATCATTGCTGTAACCACCATTGTCAGTCGTTTGTTATCTTTTTCTCTTGAGAGACAAGGCAAACCATACCATCAACATTAAATCGCGAAGGCTAAGAGAGAGAGGAAGAGAGTGAAAGCGAACAAGCGAGCATTGAAAATGTTCTTTGTTTATATTATAAACAAGCACAAAACTGACGATGAAACGTGTACCAGAACTAAGCATTTATTATCATTAGCAGCATAATATAATAATAAATAAAATAAAAAAAAATGAATAGAAGACCTATTGTAAATAAGTTATTGTAGAGACTAAGATAAATGATCTACAATATTGATCAATTAAATATTACACATGATGAAAGATTATCTCAAGTATATTTATGAAACATCAATTCTCTTGAACTATGACAAGAACAATAATCGATATGTGTGTGTGTGTGCATCTAACTAATAATGAATACAATAATAACAATTTCCGTGTCTATAGTCTAATCGATAAAGAGAAAGGAAATATTTATCAATTCATTGAAAAATTTATGTAAATGAGAATTGAAATAAGAAAAAAAGAACCAATGAAACTTTGAACTTACAAATATTCTTTTGGCAAGAATTAACTAACTTTTTTTTTTTGTTTCAGTATTTTTATATCGTAGTTCAATGATAACTAAAACACTATCATTATCAATAATACGAAATTAAATAATGAAATAATTTAAAAAAAATCTGATAACAATTTTGTATAACAATAAAAAAAAAGAGTACGAATAAGTTTGAAGTAAATGATAAGAATAATAACACTAGAGAATCAAACATCATTGAATTTAACCAGCAGATGAACAGTAGCATTTACTGTTACAATACCCATCTTTAATTAATATTTATTGAAAACAATGGCATTCCTTTATCTAATGTTTTACTATGAATTTTAGAAGTATATCATAACTCAAATTTTTTCAGTTTTGCTACACTATAGAAAATATCAGTTAACTCTGTATTCATGATAGAACACTTGCTATAGGAATGGTAGAACAATTGTTATAGCATAGATCTAATTAAGTCTAAAATATTTTTACATATTACATCTATGAAGTTTTTTTTTTTTTTTCATTTTCTTTATTAATAAACTTTCATTTTTTTTTTCAATAATATCATTAAGTACATCATTCTTTTTCTTATGAGAAAATGTTGGGAGTAACAAATGATTTTTTTTTTTCGATATCAAGATCATGTCTATAAATTTTAATGATAAAGTTATTCATTAGACTCTTGAGATATATGTCATATAGGAAAAATCCTTGGTATATCTGACCTGTATGATAGAATACTAATGATCTTTCTTAGACAAAAAAAAAGCAAATAAGAACAGTTGTAAGACAGATGTGTCTTTTCAATAAAATGATCAATTATATGTTGTTCTTTTTTTTTTTATTATGCTTATATATTCAATATTTTGTTATTTATTTCCTTTTATTTTGGAATATTTTACAATAGAAATTTTGATAAATATGATCAAAAGACATACATTTAAAACAATTCAATTTCTCTGTAGAGTTTTTCAAGTATGTCATTAATTGTATTAATAGAAATAATCAATTGAGCGAACAAATACTATTGTATATTCGTCGATCATAATAATTATAAACAATTGATAAACAAAATCTAATACTTGTTTTATATTTAATCAATTGAGTTTGTTTGTATATATATATATAATGTGAGCCAACTTTGTATATTTGTCGTTGTTTCTATTTTGTCTTACACAAAAATAATAAAAACAATAGCGTCATTATATTGTCGTGTGCTCGTTCATTTCTCATTATTGTCTTGACTATTAAATTTGATAAATCGTTTCTGACCTACTGTTTGGTTACTATCGAATGATGAATAGATAGAGATAGTTATATATATATATAACTGATTATCATCAATAGAAATACATAGACAACATAGCTAATTGATTGTCTCGACTTGTTCTAACATGTATACATTAAACCCCCCGACACATTAGAAGACCCCCCACCCCTATAGTAGAGATGACCCTCTATTGAATCAACAACCCAAAGGATAGATTAGAGGACCTGCTCACCTGCTTCTAAGGGGATCGTCAGAGGAGATGGGTGGGTCTTCTCATCTATCCTTCACTTCGTTGACTCAAGGGAGGGTCATCTCTGCCACAGGGGTGGGGGGTCTTCTAATGTGTCGGGGGGTTTAGTTCCATAGGATTGTAATGTCTTTTGCTATGCAAATCTTATGACCTTATAGAACAAAATACTTGAAATAAGAGAAAGTTGTCATCAATAGAAGACACTATGATTAACCAGACTGTAATATCGATCAATGGCAAGCCAAAATAGAACAAATATGTGCATTGACAAAGATATATATTATGATATATGAGAGTAAGACAAAAAAAAGGAAAGGTCTCTCCTAAATGAGTAAAATATGTGCATTTTTATACATTTATTCATGTACCCGTGGTACATAACAAAAAAGAAACCCTCAGAAAACCAGAGACACATGTAATATGTTGTAATTTTGAGATAGAATTGATAGATGAGAATATTTCTTATCTAGAAAAAGATTCTTGATATGTAAATAGATTATACTAGAATACAATATTCTTTTCGCAAAGTTAATTCAACAGAATTATTCTATATATATATATATATATAAAATAAAAAGTCACAACAAAAAATTAATGAATCTATAAAGAATTTGTTTGTTTTTAAAGATCTATTTAAATCATCAAACTTATCATTATATCTCATATTCTAACTGAATATTAAAAAAATGATAAGAGAGTGGATACTCTAATTAGTACGTGGATACCATAAGAATAATTGTAAGCTATAATTTTATTTGATATGTTGAAGTAAATATTTCTACCTGTTAGTTGTTCTTGACAATATTAACGTTATTCCGATTAAAACTGTTGATTAATATTCATATATATATATATATGCATTGATCAACCTAATACTACATAAAGAAATCATCATAATTAATAGATAAGATAAAAAAATTTTTGCTTATTAAGAGATATTTAACGCTTGTCTTAATTTTAATGATAGTTTTTTTTATTGTGTTAAATTATGTTCTAATTATGCTAAATATTAAAATTATTTTAAATCTAAATCTCTTTTTCCAATATGTTTTGATCAAATAGTGCAGACAAAATCAATATTTTCTGCTTAGTCTATTGCTATAATCATTGTTAATATGATTACTTGTTCTGAATTTGTGAACCTCATTATGGCACAATAAACTATGAATATTAAAAAAAAAAAAAAAAAAACTTGTTCTGAATTAGTAATATATGTTAATCGATAATTTGTTAATGGGAATGATGATTCATTTGTATTGATAAAAATAGAATCGATATTTGTTTGTCCTTTGAATTTAGTATAGATTTGATTGATTTATTTTATCATAAGATTTTTGATGTTTAATAATGTTATCATCATTTATTTGAAATTTCTCTCCGCAATAGATGACCTTAGAACTTCTTTTATGTCCTACCGTAAACAGTATACCGAAGAGTCTTCTATTGTTTTTCATTTATTTTCATAATTTTTACTGAAAAGAATTTGTTAAAAAATATTTGCAATTCAACATCTGGAAAACTAGACATACAAAAATTTCCATTTTGAGAGAAATTAATAAATTAAGGTTAACTCTCTTCTCAAAAATCGATCTTGAATTAGGTACATTTAAATCACCTGAAAATTTCAAGATATGTTGCGACTGTAGTGGAGAGAGAGTCTATGATAAAATTTTCAACTCTACATCATGATATTCGACGGAGTTATTCAACAAACTTTGGTAATGCAAAATTCTTCGCGAGCTTTCATTCCATTTACCTAATTGTTTTTTTGTTTGAACAAGCGTGTTAGAATGCAGAGCATGAGAGAGCTCTTGTATTTTTAATTCCTTTTTTTTTTTAAGCGGAGAAAATTCAACGTCTTGGAAAGCTCTCGACTAAATGATGTTCTAATTATAAAAGTAATATTTTTTATAAAATAGTAACAAATTGTCATGCTCTTTCAAACAAAGAAATAAGCAATTAGTTACAATAATATTTCTTCGAGAATTCTAGAATTGACAAACAAAAAATTATAAATAGAGTAAAAACGAAAAACATTTCCTGTTTTTTCTAAAAATAGCGCCTTTTTCAAACAGATCATCAAAACTATTAACAAAGAAAGAAATCACATCATCTATGAAAGATCAGACATGGAACTATTTTTTCAGATATTTATCTTAATTTTTATTTTATTGACGAAAATAAAGTTTTTCTTTGATAGAGGAGGATCACAGTTTGCATCTAGATGGACATTTGGCTAAAAATGAAAATCAATCTTCAAATAAATTGAAAAATTAGTCTAAAAATCATGATGTCACCGAGAAAATTTATATATCTGACAGAATTAAACTATTCGATAGACAAAAATCAAGTATATTTTCCGAATCTCCAAGCCGAACTCTATACAATGATAAGAAACATTTTTTTTAATTTGTGAGAAATCAGCACATTAAACTGTGTCGAATGATATATAAAACAAAACCTATTTTGCAGAAAAAAAATGAGAACAATGGTCTGTCTCACGCGTTTTTCATCGATAAACTTTTTTCCCAAAAGCATTTTTTTTTAAATGCTTTTTCCTTGCCATATCCAATTATCTCTGAGCAAATAAATTCATTTCCGGACAAGAAAGTCACACGTTCATTTGCTATACGAAATATGCACACTGTAGAAGTGGGTTTTATAGAGGTCTTCTATTACATCTGGCGAATTGTTCTGCTAAGAGAAGTCTTCGAATATTGTGAGGAGATGGACGTTATTTGATTGATTATGAAATTGATTTTGACTTTTACGCAAAATATATCAAAAATTTTCAATGAATATCTATTGAAAAAAAAAGATGCATTTTTGAAGACTAAAATTAGACAATTTATACTATTCTTCAATCTCTATGAAATGTGAATAAATCTTTTTTGTTAGTATGTTTGAAATAATTAAAATATTTGTGTAAACTTATTTTAACTTTGAAATATTCCTAATGAAAAAATAAGAATATAAACTGTTCGATGATATTTTCTTATAATCAAATAAATCAAATGACATATGTTTATACAATAACAAAGAACAAAATAAAAAAAAACAAAAGAAACAGTTTAAAAAAGCAAAACAAAACTAAGAATACCATATATATATATTTAAGAAATAATTGCTTTTCCTAAAACAGTTTTAAGATTTTCAAGTAATAATGTTTGTTCTAATAATTCTTTTTGTACTTGAATTTTTTCATTTTCTAATAAACGTATATGCTCGATTTCTTTTTTAATATCCCAATTATGTTTTAATGTTTGAGATAAATCAATAAATTCTTGATTTTTTATATCAAAATCTGTTTTAGCTATAGAAAGATCTTGTGAATGTTCAATATTTAATTGATTTAAAATATTAATTAATTCAAGCATCATTGTTATAGTTGATTCCGTATTACGTATTAATGTTGTACGATCATTTAATTCTGTATGAACATCATCAGATTTTTCAATAAAATTATTTGTTTTAGAATTCATTATTGATCTTGTACGAACAAGTGATGCCATTGATTCAGATATAAGTTCAGATAATTGTTCATCGATTTGACGAGATTCTGAAAATAATGTTTGTAAAATTTGTGCCTAAAATTTAACATACACACAAACAAAAAAAAAGTAAAATTGAATAAAATAAATAAAATAAATTTACTCCATCGGTTTTAAATTTTGTTACTTGAATAACAGCTGAATCAAGACGATTTTTAATTTGAAGAAAATCTTCTTCCATATGTTCTCGTTCATGACGTAAATTTTCTAATTGTTTATTTCGTTCTATTAATAATTGTTCTTCATATTCAAGTTTTTGTTCACGTTGTTGTAAATATTCAGTTTCTTGTAAAAATGCAGCAGCAACTTTTAATTGCATTTGTGAAAGCATTGTTTGTAAACTTGAATATGTTGATGTAAATGAATCTCGTGTTATAATTGATGATTGATGAGCTATATCACGTTCAAGACGTAATTGTTCATTTAATGATAAATTATTTATTGATGTATGAATTCCTGTTATAGGTGTTAAATTAAGAGCATATGTACTAGGATTAATTTCACTATTTAATTCATTAGGGATAATTGATGATGTTTGTTCTTTTGATGTAAATATTGATGATTTTAATTCATCTAATGATGGTGTTGTTGGATAATTTCGATTTACTTTCATCATTTTATATGAATTATATGTTTTCAATAGAGAATAGAAGAAGAACGAATAGATGATTTGTAAGTTAGATATATAGATAGATAGATAGATGGATATATATCGATATTTAGTTGACATAACTATATCGAGGGTAGATCGATGAATCATAAGAGAAATGAGAAAAAAATAAATAAATCGAGAAGATTTATTTTGTTTTGAATTTATTTACAAAATTGTACGAAAAAAAAAGTTTAACAAAGTATTATCATATTCCTAATGTCTAATATTTCATAATTATTTATATTTGAAATTGAATCGATCAAGAATATAATTTTGATATGAATACATATAAGATGAAGATTTATTTCTTATTCAAAATGAATTTCAATATTTGATTTAATATTAAATTATTTTTGCTAATCAATTACAAATATAGAAAAGATTTTTTTTATATTGAAATTTAAAACATCTCAAAAGAATATGATGTATTAATATTTCATGATTCATAACATAAATATTTTATAAACATATAGAATCAGTAAATAATAACAAAAAAAATGTTCTAGTGGATATGATCTAATGAAGAGAATTGAAAATGTGTGATGTGTACTAAAAGAAAACATTCATGAAAAAAAAAAATGAAGTAAATAGTTTAAATTAAAGAACTCAAACTTTGGAAAATTAAAAATCTTGGTTAAATAATTGTATATATTTCAGCTTTCTAAGTCAAGAAAAAGTATAACAAATATCATTGATAATAAACCATCGGTTATTATTGAACATCCTTTATATTGTAACATTTTCATTCGACATACAGAACTGAAAATGTATGATTCACAAATTTTACTATTTGTATAACTTCCTCCCCTTTTTTTTGTTAATCATCATGTTCTCTATTCTTTTTTTCGTCGATTCATTCGATCGTTTTTGATAGGCATCATTTGTAGTTATCAAATTGATTGTCGAATAATATATTTGAAAGAAAAAACCAACCAGGTAAGAATATTGTAATATGAAAATTATGACGTCATTTATATTTCGTAAATAGAAAGAAAGAGATATGATACATAAATGAACAAATATTGTGTAATAAATTTCATTCTGTTTTAAAAAACAAAAACAAAAAAATAAACAATTTTAAATACATTTTCAATAGAAATTATATTCAATCGATGATTGTAAATATCGTGATTATGATTATAGAATAAATCATTATTTACAAAAAAAAGAAAATATATGTATTTTTTTTCTGCGATTAAAAATTTTAATAGAGATCAGATTGAGTTGCAATACTTCTTTCAAATGGATGTATATTCTTTTGAGAATATAAAGAAATTGTTTTTTTCCAATCATCATGATTCATTTTTAAATTTGTTGAAAGTAAATTTATTTTAATATGAAATTTTTTGAGATTCAATGCTTGATTCTGAATAATATTAGTTAATTCAACTAACTTGAAGTCTTTTTGAGAAATATTAAATCTATCAATAGTTAAATGAAGTTGTTCAAGACAAGAAATATGTATAAGCATTGATTCAAGATCAAATAATGGAACATTAGTACGTAATAAAATTTTTAAATGAATAAGACATAAATGTTTGATTAAAGGAAAAGAAATTGATTGATTTGATGAAGGTAAACAGACTAAAGCACTTTCAAAACTAATTAAATTTGGTAGATAATATAAAATATTTAAAAATGTATTTATATGACAATAATTTAGACGAAGTGAACATAATGTAAAACATGGTTGATAAAATTTCTTATCATCAAAATAAAAATCTAGATTAGGTAACCAACATGTTGTTAAATAATTTAATTGTTTTTCACTAAAAAGTATATCTCCCAATTGATTATTTGTTGAACAAACAACAATATCAAGTTGATTTAAATATTCTAAATAATGTGATTTAATATCTTCTATTTGTTTATCAGTTGCATGACTTAAATGAAGTGATAATAAATTTTTAAATGATGATATATCTATATTTTGATTGTAATAATCAATATATAAACCAATAACATATTCTGGTAATGCATCAATTAAGATTTTAGATTTTTCATAACTTAGATTACTTTTTAATTTAATTTTTAATCGTTTTGAATGAAGTATTGCTTCAATACGTTGATTAAGTCCAGAAAAATAATGAAATAAATCCAACCATGGAAAATAAGAAAATATTTTAAGCCAAAGTTCGTCGGGTAATTCTTCAATGAATGTCATTTTGTTAGAAATATAAATTCTTTTAAGAATGAAAGATGATCTATATATATATATAAATATAGAAACTACGTTTAACTTTATTACGGCAACATATTTCCCCTCCTCCTCCGCATTAGTCACATTATTAATGTAAAGGAAGAAGAGAAAAAAAAACATACTATTGTTTATTTAAAAAACGAATGGTCATGAATATTTTTGCAATAACTCAAGAACGAAAAGAGCTACAGGGTTGGAATTTTCACCAGTTGAAAGAGAAGACATCAGAATGTCTTTTTATCAAATATTATATTAGACAAAATCATTTCTGCAAAAAATGCATGAAAACAATCTGTCATTTCGATGAAATTTCGATATTAATATATGATTTAAGATATAATTCGAATAATTATCTCTACACATTCTAATGTTAAGCCAATAAAATTGTCTATTCAGTCTCTCAAAAAAAATATGAATTTTTCTTAATTTTTATCAAAATGTGATCTGAACAACAAATCATTTTTACACATTTCTTAGATATTTTATAAAAATGATTGATTTTAAAATGATTTTGTCTTACATAATATTTGACAAAAAGACATTCCGATATCTTCTCTTTCGACTAGTGAAAACCGCAGCTCTGTAGTTCTTTCCATTCTTGAGTTATTGTAAAAATATTCACGACTATTCTTCTTTTTTTTAAACAGATAATACTAACATATACTTTGTAAACATATGTGAAACAATAAATTAATTAAATATAAGAATGTTTTCTTTCTTCTTTATTAATTGTGTTTTTATGAAGCCATTGAACCAGGTATCAGACCAAGGACGAGTACAAGTACAGCACGTAAAAGTATTTTACTTATACTTCAAAAAAACAAGTACTCAATACTTGTATTCTGAGAAAAGCACTTGAAACCTATACAGAGTGAATCGTAATGATTGCAACATCTGTTAGTATTTTGCAAATGTCTCAGCCCAGCTAAATCGTTTAATTTTGTTTTTTTTTAAAAACATGCATCGTGGAATTCTCTACAAGAATAGTAATGAAGACTAAAAGTGAAGTACTATGTGATGGTGAGATGATTCATTATTCTGAGAGAAGTAAAAATGAAAATAATGCTAAAAAATAGTCTTCTTCTTATTTCAAACAAAATTTTTCATGACATTATCACTAAGGAAGAGAAGTTACAGTTAGATAGTAACGGAAATTTTTCGATTTTATTAAAACAAAAGCATTTTTTCGAAACGGACGATTCTTTATAAAGTTTGACGGAAAGTATTCGAGATCGAGTAGCCCGAGTTTACAATCGATTTATCGAAATTTTGAGTTTCATTTTTAGAATAAAAATAAAAATTTTTTAAGTCATATTAGTTTCATGACAGAAATATTTTTGTTAGAAATCGTGTAAAATAAAATTAAAAAAAAGCCAAAAATATTCGTTAAACTTTATATCGTAAGTTATTTCATTGTCGTTTATTGAAATGTACATGAAAAAATAAAAAAAGATAAGTTATTTGCCGTGCAATTACATACACCTTTTAAAACATAACTGTATTATTTTCAAGAAAAAATAGGCTCTATTACGAGAGATATGAATTACTTAAGAAATAATCATATAATTCTGTACTCAGTGTTTATATCTATTTTGAATTCTACTCCAGTTAACGGTGATGTCTTCTTAGATGTTCTCTTCCAATTTCAATGATTTTTTGCCTATAGATATTACATAGTGTTTTAATAAAAACTATAAAAGAATTTGCGTTCCTATTGAGATTTGACTAAGCTATCAAATTTTTAATATGTTTATTTTCAGAATCACAGACTTATACAAAATTCATATTTTCGCATTTTGATCTGAAACTTTGTGCATACAGAGAATTCAACTAGACTAGATATCATAAAAAAATTTTGAAAAAAGTCTCTTTCTCAGATATGAGACCTTTTTCATGGATAGTGCATTTTCATTATGAAGAATTGTCATTTCACTATAAAGATGATCATTGATTAAAAATATTATTAACAAATAAAATTTCAATCAAATCATAAACAGATAATATTTGACAACAATGTTTCTCTACCAATAATAGAATCAGAAATAAAAATATTTCATATTATTCTTTGTATATGATTTCTCTCGGAGTTTTAATCATGTAATAAAAGTTTCGAACTCTATTATAAATTTTCCGTACGATATTAAATTTCAATAATAATATTCTTATTAAATCTATAATAATTTCTAATTAATTACTTTTCGATTCATTTTAGGAATGTAAAAACATTTAACACAGACAATAAAATCTAGTTTATTTATCTTCACTATATTTTTAAAAATGTCCAAAACAAAAAAATTAATTAACTATATTTTTTCATTTATTTCTGGCATGAATACTATCTAGAATTTGTTTTAATAATTGTTCAAGTTGTTTTGAATTAAAATTAGCTTGATTAATACGTTTTATAAGATTTTCATAGGTTTTTTCTTCATATTGTTGATAAATTTCTTTTAAATTTAATTCTTCATAAATATTTTTAACACATTGAACTTTATTTTCATCATCATAACCATAATTATCACGAAGAATTTTTCGTTTTATATTATTATCTTTTAATAATTTCATAGCTTGAACAATAAGCCATGAACATTTACGTTCTTGAATATCAGTACCAATTTTTCCTGTTCGATTAATATCACCATAACAATCAAGATAATCATCTTGTACTTGAAAATAAATACCAATATCAATTGCAATTGATTTTAATTCAGAATGATCAACAAGAAATGATAATGGAGTTATTAATATACCACAAAAAATTGGTAAAACAATTGTATAATAAGCTGTTTTCCATGTAACTATTGTATAATAATGTTCTTCTGTATAAAGATCAACTGATGGTAAATAAGATGGAGTTTCTAAATCAAGGCCTAAGAACAAAAAACATTATTATTATTTAAAAAAAAACAAAAAAATTCTATTAACCTTGTCCAATAACAGTTCGTTGAAAAATTTCATTAAATAAATGAAATAATTTAATATTTGTTGGAAAATATTTCTTTAATAATATAAATGTACATGAATATAAATAAAATGAATCATTAACAGCTGATTCTTTTTCTTTAACTTTTAAATACCAACAAGTTTTACCACGTCTTGTTAATGAATGATCCATAAGATCATCAGCAACAAGAAATGCTCCTTGCATTAATTCAATACACCAACCAAGTATAGCTGCTTGTTTTAATAATAATTCATCAACTGATTCTGATGATATAATACGAACAGTATCAATAACAGTTGTACCACGAAGTTTTTTTCCATCACTAATATTATAATTAAGAACGGTTTTAAAATGTGAAAGAACTTTTTCAAGATAAATATTTTTTGATGTTTCTGATGAATAATTTGTAACAAGATCTTCTACTATTGTATCATAATATGAATTTAAAATTGATAAACTTGAAGTTGAATTCATAGTTAAATTTAATAAATCTGAAATAAATAATATTTAATTATTTTTATCAAATTTAAAAATTTACCTTCATGTCGATAATTTGAAATCGATTTTATATATTTTGATTTATCAAGATTTTTCTAGAGTTTTTTCAATTGAACATAATATTTTTTGTCTATGAAATGATAATAATGCATAGTTTTGTTTTTGAATAAAACAAATGACTTTAATTACAACTGATATTAAAATTAAGAAAAGATTTCTAAATTGATAATGTCAAGGGCAAAAATTAAAAAGAAAATTTATAACAAATTATATTCCATTGTATCTTCAATTTTTGGATAAATTATCTAAAGATGGTTTAGAGAAAATCGAAAAAATAAAATATTTACAAGCCTATTGTCATCGTCAAAGCAAGACAAAGAAAACCCGCACAATTTGCATAATAGAATGAATTTTTGATAGGCACAATTATAAAAAATTCCATGGTTTCACTTTCAAAAGTAAAAATTTTCAACGCACCGATGCACATTGATCGATATAATTTATTTACAAAATACGACACGTTCAAATACACATAGGACGAGAACGATACGAAAGAAAAAGGTAAAGTCAAAGAACAGAAAAAAGAAAAGTATGAGAACATTTATATATATTTCTGGGTTTGTGTTACTCATACGATCACGCCATGTATTTAACAGTGGTAAGTTTATAAAGAAGATCGTGTCATACGAAAGATAAAGTAATCTATTATCAAGAGAATAAATTAATAACTATATCATCGAACATAACCTTGATAATAACTATGTAATTCTTGTGGCTATTGAAGATATATAAATTTTGTCATTTTATTTATTAAGGAAAAATCTTACTATTTCTATCACAATTTGGTAAGAATGTGAGCTACTCAAGCAGATATTGATACGGCTCTGCTAGGCGACATCATCTTGGATTATCAAATGAGAGCTTTTCTTTTTTTAATGAAATAGATAGTTCAGATCTTGTGAGTATTTCAATAATGAATATCGTATTCATCTCATACTGACAATTATTTTTGAAATCCAATAAACTCTTGCATCATTTCAATCAACCATCATGAAACTTTTTGAGATATCACATTATTCAGTTAAAGATTTGTTCATATTTCTATCAACTTAATAAAAATTTACACTGTTTCATTTCTAGACTATGTAAAATTCTATAACAGAAAGAAACTCAATAGAATGATATTAAAGCATGCCTATTTCATATTTCACTAGTTCCTAAACAGCTATTCCTCATCAATGTTTATGCATACACATTTTTCGACTCACGAAATAAATTCATCTTTTTTTCCATGAATAGAAAATATGTAGAACAAATGAAATTAGAGGTTACAACTAAACAGCGAAAAGTGATAAACTAATGTATTTGATGATTTATATTGCTATTTTGCGCTCGTCCGGATTGGGTAGACACTTCTAATTATTTAAAGCGGTGCTGTGAGAATGAAGAATTTATGATTTATAGCTATATGAACGTATATCATTTCGCACAACTATTAAATATTTAGCAATTGTGAGAAAAAACATATTGTAAATATGAATAGCGAGAGAGAAGTTCTCATTTTAGAGGTGTTAGATTATGAAAATTTCAATGAAAATAATCGAATAGAAGATCTACAAAGATGTTTATATTCTAAAAATTTAAAATGATTGATTAATCTAAAAATATAAGATATATCCAATAAATTTCAATAAAATTACTTAAAATGAAGTTCAAGTCTACAATATAAATGATTTTATTATTAAAAAAAAAAACTTGGTATTATTATATTCAAAACTAAACTATACACACACATGTCTTTTCCCTAGTTTTCGGATCGGTTTACAGGATGTCACAAAAGTCATCATATTAACACTAAATTCACATAATCATGCATTTAATAAATGCAGACATTGTTTATCAGGTGAACGTGTCTAGTTTCAGATTCAGATTTTCTTTTTTTGGTATTATTTATTATAAATAAAGAAAAATTGTCATTCTAATATTGTGTTTATGAAATTAAATATAAAAATAATATTAATTCAATTAAAATAATAGTAGAAAAATGAAAACACATATTATTAAAGAATTTCAAATGGTTTTATCTACTATTTCGATATATCACGATAATAAGGAACTTTTTAATAAATCGACTAAAATCAGTGTATAATCTATAAAATTAATCTATATCTAACAACGTATATCAATGATTAAAAAAAAGATTATTCGAAACAAGGAACGAAGGTGTATACATTTTTATCTTTAAATCAATGACGATAGTTTCAAGCAAATTATGGATTTCAAAATGCACATAGAGTATTATTCTCATGAAACAAGATTTTAAGAATAGTATTGTATAAAAATATTTATTAGCTTTCATGATCAATAAATCCGACGGGGAACAACTGAGACTTCAGTTTTAAACTCATGAAATCTCAGAAGTCTCTTAAAATCTTCTGAACTCTATTGACGTCTCTTGAAGTGCACTGTTTCTCCCTCGAAGAAAACTGAAATTTCGAACTCATAAAATGTCTTGAACTTTCTGCAATTGAAAAAGCTTTCATAATCTAAAGTATACCTAATATAAAAAAACTTCTCTCGACAAAAGTAATAATTTCTAGAGAGAACATCTGCTATGCTTATTTCGATAGCTGAGACATGCTTTTCTGCATAGTTATTATCTTGATCTTCTACTTATATTTCTCTCATACTTATCTATGTATAATTTATCTCTAATTTTTATTCCATGTATTTTTCTATTACATAATCTCCTATAATTATTTATAAAGTTTAAAAAATACTTTCGAAGATTGTTATGAACTTTCGAAAGATCTTCGATGCTTTCACAATTTTATTTCTCATATTTTTTGCTCAAAGTCTTTTCTACTTGTAATGGAAGTGTTTGTACTGTAAGCTAATGAGGTTAGACATATTCGATTCAAATTAAAACTCGTCAATAAACTAATACGTTTAAAATATAGACTGCTGTTGATGCACCTGAATTGAAATATTCGAATTTTAAGATATTTACAATGTATGTAATAAAGATCTGTAAACCGACAAATTATATTGCCTTGTCTCATCACGAACGAGGCAAGATTTCTGACAGCGAGGGGAATACGAAACGGTGTGAGATTAGACGATTCATTTATCCTGTATTATCAAAACTTGTTCAACCATTTTATTCGATTCCAGTAACTATAGTTAATGTCGAACAGCAATTTAGTGTTAGTGGTTTGATGATCGAGTCGAGACGTATTGGATTAAATCCACAACAAGTAAACAACGAATTGTTTATGCGTCAGAAAAAAAAGATAAATATTCATTTCGATCTTATTATATATTTTTGTATTTTGAACCTATTTTTATGTATTACATGTATTTTATTTGATTTTATGAAATAAAAGAAACAGTAATTGTTATATATGGTTGAAAAAAGACATCAAACAACATCCGTTATTATGCTGGTCCTTAACAAGGCGGTGGTGGAACAGTTTTTCAGCTTCTTTGCAGATCTCTGGTATGTAACGTACTCACAAATAAAGAAAATCAGAATTTTCAGTCTATTTCTCTTTGTACTTGAAAATAATGGTACATTGGACTTTTTCGTAAGATTTTTTTTGTAATTTGAAACCTACCTTTTTTTCATACAACTTGACAAACTCTATCCAAATATGACGAAAAAAAGTTTGCTGGAGTTTTGATTTGTGGAGTACGTTACGTATACTGTAAATATTTTTAACTTCAAATATCTCGGGGTCGAGGTATGACAACAGTAGCTTATATTTTAAATGTGTTAGTTTGATAATGAGAACTTTAATTTGATCCGAATATCTCTAATCATATTAATTTACAAAGTATATACGTACAGTGTTTGTAAATTTAATATTTGTCAATATCAAAAAAGAACTGTTCTTCTGTTTTTTTGTTCATTGGCTTTTGAGTAGGTTGACAAGAAAGTTTAGAAAAATCTTAGTTGAAAACTTACAGTGGAAATATTTCTTCACAAAGCGTTTATACTCTCTACAGATATGATTCACTTGTCAGTTTACTTTGTTGATATGACTTTCGAGGCATCCTGTAGAGTAGAGTCAGTAATGATACTTAACTCAACTATTCCAAAAACAAGTTAAATAAAACCAAAACATATAATCATGAGTAATGATAAAATTAGTTCGATGAAAAATATCTTGATTAAATTGTGATAAAATTAATTTAGCATTTTGTGTATTAGCTGTATAACGTATACAAATATTTATTTTAATTTTATTTAATAATGGAAATGAATTTTCACCTAAAATTATATATTTCCATTGTTGTTCATTTAAAAATCCACGATCCCATACAGATCCAAACATTTCAAATGATTTTAATATTGGCATATGTTGTAATAAAAATAAAATTTCTTGTAATGTTATATCATTATGAAGACCAATAGTTAATTTTTTTAAATTTGAACAATAATATTCACGATATGTATGACTATCAAATATTCTTCCATTTGAATTAAGCCAAACATTTAATGAACAAAGTTTAGGTACATGTTCTAAAAGATTAAATAACATATCAAGTGTTATCATACTTAAATTCATATGTTGAATTGTGTGTGATATTGGTAATTGATTATTAAGAATATAAAGAGTTGGTGATAATTCTATTTGACATTTAAATAGATTTGATAAAGAAAGAATTTGATGTATTAAATCATTTGTTGGTTGACCAAAATAATCATTATTTGATGATTCTATATTTAAATAAGTAAGTCGAGGTAAATTTGAATTTGTAATTAATAATAAAACATTATTTGGAGTCCAATCTATTAATGAAAATTTACTTATTCGAAAAAGAAATTTCTCTAATGGTAATGTTGTATTTGATATTAAACGAGCATATAAAGGTGTATAATTATTATATAATAAACATTCAAATCGATAATTAAGTGATGAAAATGCTCGATAAAGTTCAGTTAATTCAAGAAAAGAAAATATTTCAAGAATTGTTTCATTTGGTAAATATTCGAACATCTAAAATAATCAAATTAAATATTTTATTTAAAGAAAAATCGATTAAAATCAGATGTTTTCTTTCAGTTAGAATATTCATCAAATTTTTTTTTTATAATTATAGTTGTTGATTCCATCATCTCGTTAAGTGAATGATATGGTTAAATCAATTAAATACTTTTAAACAATGACTGTTTTTTCTTTGTTTCAAAGAAACTTATAACTAATTCATGGCAAAATTCGATAGAGAAACAACTGATTTTATTAAAAACATAAGTATACTTTATAAAAAGAATTGGAATTTCTCAAGTTCAACTTAATCGAAACTGGTTTGTCTTTTTTTGTTGATGATTCTTATATGAAATATCATTATTGATTTGAATAAAGAAATTTAATCTATTTTCAAGTAAAAAAAAACAAAGATATGTAGAGTAAATTATAATATAAGTTTCAGTTTTTAGAAAAAATCAAAATAATGTTTATCAATGATATCATATTGATTTATAGAAAGCAAAATTTTAGAATCAATTTATTGAAAAAGTGAATGACTAAAAATATTTTAAATTTCCAAGCATAGAACAAGGAAATTGATGAATCGATACTTCTAAGACTCAGCTATATATGTAAATTAATGAGGACGAATTCTTTAAAGTGTGCTCTGTACAAATCAATGAGAATATCATTAATAAACTTTATTTTGATGTTCTCTAAAAACTGGAACTTATTTTATAGTTTACTCTACATGTATTTTTCGTACTTGGCAACAGATTATATTTCCTTACTCAAGTCCATAGTAATATTTCAAACAAGTATTTGTTTGTTTTCTTCGTATGAAAAATAACACTTTCAATAGACGTCTATCATCAACAAGAAAAAGATCAATCTGTATAAACACATCAACCTACAATCATTCACACACTTCTTAGACTAGAGTTTTTTGGAGGCTTGAAGACCTATGGTAATTGTGTTATGTTTGGAAAAGATGAGTTTATTTTGTCTCAAAAATATCGAACTGATCTTTCAAATATGTTACTCTCGTATTTAAACGGAAGAAAATTCTTGTTTTTGAATTCGTTGTAAAATATTCCGATAAAATAACTTTCATCTAGAACTCATATGGGACATACAAAATAAAATGAAACAAATCTTAAGAAAGCTTTATTCTTTTTTTTTTGTTTTTGGAAAATTTACATAATTAACTAATTTTTTTTTTTAATCGTTTAAAACAAATTTAATTTAAAAACAATGAATTTACTTTATCAATTTTAATAAAGAATCAATTTAATAAATACACAAAATTATTGTGTTAAAAAGACAGAGATTCTAGTTTGTATACTAAAAGACCAAAAAACAATGTTGATAACTGTCACTGCTGTTTTTTTTTCTCTACACAGAGACAGACACACACACACACACATGAAACATATACATAGTAAATGAGAAAAGGAATCGATTTTTAAACAGAAACATATTAAAAATACCGGTTAAAACAAAAAAAACCAAATTGAAAATAATTTATTTTCAATGTCTTCCACCGCGACCTCCATTTCCATATCCAAGAAAACGTGATGGTCTATTTGCATTTGATGTTTGAATATCATTTAATTCTCGAATCAAAACAGTTACACCACTTTGATCAGTTACTTCAGTTATTGTTGTTGTTGTTGTTGTTGAAATTTTAGTTGGTTGCCATAAAAATTCTCGTATAGATTCATCTAATTTTGGTGTTTCACTAATAATTATTTTCTCTTGTTCTTTTTCTTCTTCATCATTATCTTCTTCTTCTTTATCATGATCAGATTCTTTTGATAAATCTTTTTCATTTGATTCAATTTTTTCCGCTCGACTTGATCGAAGTTTATAAACTTCAACTCGATCATTATCAAATTTTTTCTTTGATAAAGTATCATCATCATAATTTTCATCATTTATTGTTGGAGAAACAATAGCTGATGTTGATGTATCTGATGATGTTGAAGTACGTAGACGACGTGTTCGTAGGGAATTATTTGAACGAGTTTTATTTGTTGTTTTATGTTTATTTACACTATTACGAACTAAAGATTTACTTTTCTGACGTTTTCGATTTCTAGAAAAAAAAAGATATAATAAGAGAAAAAAAAAACATATTGATCTTGTTTATCTACCTGTTATTAAAATCTGCAATAAGTAATTTATCTAAAATATGTTTTTCAGGCTCCCAAGTATTCCATCTAAAATTATAAATCATTAATTAAGTAAACAAAAAAAAAACAATAAAATAATTAAATAACTTACTTAGTAGCCCATCCTTTCCATTTAATTAAATATTCAATTTTTCCCTAGAAGAAATAAATTATTATTATAAAAAATTTGTTGTTGATATTTTAGATGTTAGATCTTAATTTTAATATTATCACAAGAGAATAACTTCAAATCAAATGAAATTACGAAGACAAAAAAGTATAAAAACTAGATATTTATAGATACTGGAGTTTATTCTTTTGGGTCAATTTAAAATTATCTTTAAATATTTAGAATTTGTTGCACTTCTCGAATATATATTCATGTATCAACAGTCTTCAATTGAGTGGCTGAAAGACAGGGGTATCGTTCTTTCTCAATTATATTAGTACTTAAAAATATTATTCCAAACCTTTTTCTTTTACAAAAGATAATCCATCAATGATTCGAGGATCGAAATTAAGATGAAAATTATTAAGAGTATTTCTAATAAGTATTCAAGAGAGTTCTAATGTTGAAAAACTTCCGTTTTTCTTCAGAAGAATTTCAACGTTTTATTATTTCTTTTACTCAACAATTTCCAAAGCTTATCAATCTTAGCACAAATCTTCTGATCTATCGACTCCTTCCCATAATGCTAACAGGTTCGGAACATTCTTGTAAGTATTATCATTTTTTCAATTCTATTTTCTCAAGTTAAATTACTAAATCATCATTCATTCTTACTTTTCGTATTCGTTTAAGCAAAATTTTTTCAGCTGTATATACAGGTGCTTCTTTATCGTCAGGCATCTAGAAAAACAAAAATCAAATAAATAATTGATTTTTCTATTCTATCTGACTAAATAAATAAAATAAATGACAATAATCTCATTATGACAAAATAAACATCTAATAAATAAAACATTTTTCAAAAAAAAGAAAAAAAAATCATAATAATCATTATTATTTTTGTAATTTTTTGTTATAATTTTTCAATTTTTTTGAATTAATATCATCATCATTTAATTGTAAATCACATTGTTTAATAATAGAACGTCTTTCATGCCATTCATCTTTGCCAGCTATACGAATGGCTATACAACGAGCTATATTACTTTCAGATTCTAATCGACAAATAACACTATATTTCAAAAACAAAAACAAAACTAATCATAATATATTTAAATATAAATAATTAAATATTCTACCGAAGTTGAACATCTCGATCAATATTAGAAAATGATTGATCCATTTCAGCAAATATACATTCAATACGATCTTTTTCATCAATTAATGAAAATTGACGTGTATTTGTTGATGATAAAAATGTTACTTGAGAATCAAGTTTACCTTTCAAAAAAAAACATTAATATAATATTTTAATTTAAATAATTTAAATTTACCAAAAACTTCAAATAAAATTGGATATGGTAGATGTTTATTTGTCCAATGTTTCATTCCTTGAATAGTTGACGTTATTATACGTAAAGATCCATCTTCTGGTAATATTTTTGGTTTCTATTTTTATCAAAAACAAAAAAAAAAACATTAAGAAATTTTTATTTTAAAAACAAGAAAAGAAAACCAAACTGATGTAACTGAATGTTCTTGTTTAACACGTTTTATTGATGATGATAATGATGATTGTGTTTGCTGCTGTTGTTGTTGCTTTCGTACAGAAGCATAATTACTTGTAGGAACATCGTATTCAAATGAGTCATTTTCATACTCATCTATTTTACGTTTTGATTTATTATTAATATTAGATCGTTGTGGAAGATTTGTTATATTTGATAATGGACGAGAATTTGTATTGAGTAATGGAATATGATTTGATGATTGTCGTTTAAAAATTGTTGAAGATGATAAACGTGATTTATTATTAGTCATCGATAATCGACGATTATTTATTAAAGTACTTTGGTCATACATTGTTTATTAAAGAGTGATTATTAATTCGTATGAAATAAAATTAACAAATAAGATTTGTAATTCGGAAGATTTGACACTGCCAATCATCGAGATCACTGAAACAGATGTCATCAGAAGAAGCTATAGTGAATCATAATTAATTCAATTATTTTAATTTTATACTTCAAATATGATATCAGAAATATTTATTAAAGCTATTTTTTTCCATGAAACTTTAAGAAGATCCATTTTCTTTGGATTATATATGCACTAAAGTATAGATGTCGCATTCATCCATTCTCGTTGACCTATAATTAATTATTTAAAATAAAAACATAGGACGATAGAAACAGTCTCTCCCATATAAAGTATTCAGAGGTGGATTCAGGAAATTTTGAAAACGTCGACGAATGAGAACAAATTATTGACGGTTTTCGTGATAATTTTTTCTAACATTTTCTATTAAATATATACTGGGATCTATGAAAATAAAAACAACTAAGAAACAAATCATACAAGAAATTCTAATTTTCTTTTTTTATTGTTTTTGATAAGTTGTCGATGACTTGTTCGATATCAATATGAATGATGGAGCATACATACATCATAACTAGTCCATTCAAATGATTTCCACCCGTGGTACTTAAAAGATGTGATTTGGCTCTATCTCCTGGCTTTTGTACGACACATTATGTATTCGCGATTCTAAAAATAAATGTTTGCCCGCACGAACTTCTAAATCGCGCTTCTGAAACAATGGCGAACATAGTAAAAAACATTTTTTGAAATCAAATGAGAGGTTGTGTTGGCTCACTGTTGAGAAAAATGGTTCGAAAGGAAGGAGCGATCGGCTCTAGTGGCCGCGCTCTAAATCTCTCACTGTTCTGGAAAAGTAAATCTGGATGAAATATAAAAATTTAGTCGTTTTTGTTTTCTCAAGTTTGGTAATAATAAAGATTATCTCATCAATTTTGTATATTGAAATGATTTCAATGTAATCTATAGTATCGATTCTAATCCCGTTAAGTTTTCTTCTCTTTGTCTTACATATCTCTATAATGGTGTTACATACTAAACATTGAAAATAATATTAATCGAGAAATCGTTTTCGATTATTTATTTATACTAAGTCTAATTTAATTAACGTTCCTAGAAAATGTTTATTTTGATGATGAACTAGCTGATTTTGGTCTTTGATGTTTATTTTCATTCGATGAATGATCTGATGTTGATAAATAAAATAAAAGAGCATTGCATAATGAATGAATTAAACCAGTTTGACGTCGAGTGATCATGGATTTCGTTGATGAACGTAATCGACAATCTAAATAAATTCTTAATATTATAACGAATAAATAAAAAAATTGTTTCGTTTTTTGTTGTTGTCAATCATCTTTATTTATTTGTGGTCTATCGGATTTTTTAATTAATTGAAAATAATCTTTAAATTCCGATGATGAAAGAAATGTTTGATAATAAGATAATGATTTAATTTTATTTAATATCGATGTCTAAAATAATAATGAAATTAAATGATAAAAAAGAAAAAAAAGTCACCTTGATATTTACTCGATTTGTATGATTTGTTTTTGGTAAACCATTTTCAAAAAGATATTTTAATAATAACGTTTCCTAGATTTATCACATCGGTATAATAAAAAACGTTCAACTAAAAAATCGAACTGGATGAAAAAAATGATTTTTGTTTTTTTGAATATGTTTATCAAACCTCGTTCTAATCCTCGAAGAAGATAACGTCTTGCTAGAATAACAAATCTATTTAAAAAATGTTCATTTATTGTATCTAGTCGACTGAATAGATCTTCCCTAGAAAAATACACACGTACGAAAAACGGATAAATTTTCATTTGATTTTTTATTTTTTATTTTATAAAAAAAGCATCGTAAAATTGATTGAATTAGATCATTAGATTTCGTCCTGTTCGTATTATCGGTAAATGTTTCAATAAATGTTTTCCATTTGAATGTTCTATTCGATAGACGATTGTCACTGCTGTTAGAACATCATCATCAGATGATGCTTGAGGTGTGACAACAGTCATTTTCTTTTTGTTGAATAATATAAAATATTGAAAATTTTCTTCAAGAATTTTCTGAAAAAAAAATGATTTATATTTAATTCTAAGAGTCGTTTAACGATTTGTTGACTTGATTAAGTGAAAAAATACAGGTAGATTATAAACGAGAAGAAAATAAAACTAAGTTGGTCCGATTGTCAAGTAAATAAATAGAAAACAAATAATTCCAATGAATCATACATAATCAATGAAAATGATCTACGATGTTTCAAAAACAAACAAAAAAAAAAAGAGATCGTTCTATTCTGATTATAGTAGAGAATTTTTATTATTGAAAATCGATGGAAACTATAATGTGAATTATTAAATGACAACGAAATATGTCTTTCATTTTCACCTAGGATTTTATCATATATAACGTGAATGTGAAAGACGATGCAGCTGTAATTGATAATCACTAGGAGATTGATCTATTCTATCTATTTTATGAGATATTTATTCATTATCCTTCCAGTTAATCCTCGAAAAATGCAATAAGGAAATAGTTCATATCAATAACGTCTGGCCAAATGAACAAAGGATGAGTAGAAAGACTAATCGCTGTTCTAATAATGACGGCACGTCTCGTCTAGTCTTTTCCTGAAAAAGTCGTAGTACATGACTAGTTCAAAACGATTTCTTATCCATAGTCTACGTCCTGACTACTTGATTGACGGGCATTATTTTGTTTGTTATGTTTAACCTTTTGTGAGAAAAAGACTAGACATCTTGTACCGTCCGTCGAAAAAGATTTCTAAATAAAAAAAAGTGAGATCATCCACAAGGTTGCATACGATCAGTTGTACTCATATGTGTTGGTCTGGTCTAGACTAGTCTAAAAAATTGAAATATCTAAGGATGATAGGTAGATTCGAAGATGCATAGAATATGTCACTTACCTATTATTTAGCCGATTGAACTATACAAACAAGTGATCAACTTCTACATGTCAATAAACATTCTAAGATTCTATTCAATAGAATTTTCGAGTTTTTCCAAGTGTTTTGTATGAATAAAAAAATGTCTATAATATTATAGAAAATAAGGTAGATAAAGGCGAACTAGTTTTATTTTTTGAAAAAAATTCCTCTGGTAGCTGGTATTTAAGAGAAACTATTTTATATTGAAAAGAAATACAGTACACAAATAAATTTCAAAAAAATTAATTTTTTTCACATCATGGTTCAACTCTATTTTAATTTAAATCCATTTTTAGTTTAAATAACCAGAATTGATACTTTAAATAAACTAGACTAATAATAAAAACATACTAAAATTATTTCTAATTTACGTTAGAGTTCAATAAATCTTACAAAAATAGAAATAGATAATTCTCGTTAACCAGCAAACAGTGTACTTTCTATATTCATATGCTTCTTTGTGTTTTAATATAACGTTGCAAAATTGTACAAAGAATATCCTCAATATATAAGAATATGATGCGTTACATAGGCTGCCAATCGTTAATATCATCCTTTATTTTCAAAGGCTTTTCTTGTTCTCATTTTAGTTAGAGAAAAGAGTAACGGCAATAACAATCGATATGTATATTAAAATAAATAAAATAATTCTTACTAATTTTCATATTTGTTATGTCTTATACCATATTTAACTGTCAATTATGAAGAGAAAAACGTGTTTTCAGATGATATTCTATCATTTTGAATATTAGACTTAAACAGGTTTGAGTCTCAAGATTGTGCACAATTTTAAAGCGACTATTTTAATTTATCGGGTTAATACTAGTTGATTCTTAGTTAAAAATAATAATGAAATTATTATTATTCTACTGTCTAATCTTCTATATTCTAAATAGATCTGATTATCCATCATTTGAAAACATAATAAAGATGCTCAAAAATTCCTTCGGTTGCAATCTACTTCTATTTCTGCCATTGAAAACCAGTCTAAACGAGTTGCTCAGGCACTTTAATACAAACGAGACGGCCTGTTTAAAGAACGTCGACTAGTCTGAAGTTGGGTTGACAGGACTTTCTCAGAACACAGAGCAGTTCTGATCAACACAGTTAATGATTGAGACCAGTCCCGATTACTATTGAAGACGTTTCGAATTATTCAAATCGCTTGTCTTCAACTGATTTCTAACCGTCTAGCAGATGGACGAGCGTTGCTTTGTCATATAGACTGTCTAAACTGACATCAGTCTATAATTATGTAATGGTTTGCCATCGAGATACCCGTCATATATCAAATACTATCGGGTGGAATATTCGAATCTACTTTTTGTTTCCTTTTTTCATTATTTTTCTGTACTAGTGACTAGTCTAGACGGGATTAACAGAAAAAACGGACTAGACATGACTAGATTTACGGATCTTCCGGATTAGTCCAGATGTAGTTGAAGGAACTTTCTTCTACAGAGAATCAGTTCTGATGGGTAGGCAAGACCTTTTAGACTACACCTGACGGGTAGTGTTGTTATGATCTGTGATGCGGGGGATGTTGTTAAGGCATATGTCACGGTCTCTGATGAAGAAGAGACATCAATAGGGATATTTGTCATTTCTCTGATAACTTGTTTCTAAAGTTTTAATCGATTTCGTCTATATGATAGATACCAACTGAACATGAACTGGTTCGTTAGTGACTGATCAGATTCCAGTACTAGTTTCAGATGAAATGAGTGAAAAATGTTGTTCTATCTTGGGAATGATCTTTCAGTAACAGAACAAAATTTTTATTGTCGGATATTTTGAATAACTTTCGATGGTTCCTATCTATTGAAGTCGGATTTTTGTCATTAGATAGAGCAATGCGGAGGGCATCTATTTATGTTATATTTATTACATTTCAGGAAGTTTTTCAAGGGAATTTGCTAGTGAACATTTATTCTGTTGCACATTTCTACAAGTTTTCCTAGGAACCTATGTTCAAATTATATGAAAATGTAGCTTGAAGAGTACTCTTTTCTCCATATAATTGTTCGATTCTTTCATCCGCACCTTAAATTCATACGTTCAAGAGAAGTTTTCTGAAATCTGGGAATGTTTATGAACAAAATGGCTTACTCTGGCCTGTATTTTGTTATAAATTGACCATAAGTTGCTAGAAACACTTGTAGAAATGTGCAATAGAAAAAATGTTCACTTAGAAATCTTGTTGAAAACTTTCTAGAAGTTAGTAAGTGTTACAAAGATAGATGCCTCTCGCATTGCTCCATCTAATGGCAAAAATCTGACATTGATAACTAGGAAGCATCGAAAGTTATTCAAAAAATGGTGGTTGGTTTTTTAAAAAAAACGTCCAACAACAATATACGTGAAAGTACCTTTCTCAAAAATAGAAAACATTTTATTTGGAAAAGTCAGTTCCTATCAAAAGAACTATGTGCACTGTTTTTGTGATCGGAATGAATCTTTTCGAATAGATCAATTCAGATCAAAGACCATTTTCAACAAATCTCAACTTGAACTGAACTTGTCAATTATAACTTAGTTGAGAAAAATAAATTCTTATTCTTCTGAACTTTCCAATTCCTTTCTCGACTTTGAACACAAAAATCTACTTTATTATGCAATGATCGAGTCTATATATGTAACAAATTAATCTGTAAACATTCTCATTTTGTCTATATCGTTGAGACCTATAAATTGAAAGAGATCATGAATATAGTATTAGAAAAGTTTTCTATAGAGTATAGAGAGCTATAGTTAGGAATAGATATTATAACAAGATATATCACTCATTAAGAGTATATTAAAATGAGATGCTCTATTATATCAGGTCATATGAAAAGAATTACCAAATAACGTTTTCAAATCGTTTGTAACGAATTCTTACTGCACACATCGTTTAGGAGTAATCTTTAATGAAAATTATTTATTAATTAAGTTAATCAAAGTTCTCCAATGATGATCATTTGAAAAAAGCATTCGTTTTCTAAACAATATCCTACATAAGATAGATTGACATTTTTTCTTAAAACTAACAAAGTAACTTCAATTAAAATAACATCTCTACAAGTCTAGAAAAATTCAGTAAAATAGCTGATTAGATCATTATTGAATCATTTTTTTCCTAGATAAGATTATATTGAATATTTTGAACGTACACTAAGATTTTTAACAAACTCTACTGAATGATTAATTTATTTGTTTCCTAATAATCGCTGCACATCTATTCGGAAGAACGTAAAAAAGAAGCAGTGACATATTTCTTTTGCAATAATGTGAACGACAGAACACATACCCGTCATCATTTTCCAATTGCAATCATTTCTCATGCTCTACATATCTATCTCTTATCGTTTATTTTCTAGAACTAGTTACTCTTAACTATAAAGCTAGAAACCGTTATACTTTATGCAAAAGCAATATAAGTTATTCTCTTACTCTCAACATATGACCATGATTATATGTCATCTATCTATCCATATATATTTGTCGTTAGGGAAGTAAGTTAAGTTCTTAATGATATATTTCTAGATTAAATGATGAATATATAACTTATTGTTATTAGTGGTATTTACTTCATTTCTTCAAGTGGTAACGTCTATATAAAATGAAAGATGTTTTTTATATATTTTAATTTTTATTAATCTTTAAGATGAAATAATTCTTGCAAAGAAAGAACAAAAACTTACTCTACGTGGTCGAGTTATTTTTCCTAGTGGTTCACATATACCAATTGAACCTGATGAAATATAAACAGTTGAATTACAATATACAACACTTGCTGATGCTTCAGTAAGAGTTATTGCACGATATATAGGTAAAAGATATTCGATTTCCAATAAAATATTGACCAAAACAAATTATTGATGGAAATTT